GTTGTGTGTGTGTGTGTGTGTGTGAGAGAGAGAGAGAGAGAGAGAGTAATGGTGGCATTTGATACATTTATCAAATCGATTAATGTGACCATAAATTTAGTAGATCATGAAGTTCTTCCGATTTGATTTTTAGTTTTGTTCTTTTATCATTGATTGGATCCATTCATTGTGATATCTTCCCGAATTACAAAGCCAAATATTTGAACATCATGAATATAATGATATTTGACTGAATTTATTAATTCTGTAGTTGGTGGTGAAAAGTTAGGGATAGACACTTAATTTTAGATTAATGATTTAGGATCAATTAATTATTTAGTTAATCATTCCATCGAATCAAGTCATAACAAATTATATTAGAGTCAACTTAGTATCGATAGAGATTTGAACAAAAAATCCATTCGGAGACTAGAGACAATATTAAGCTACTTGTATTTGAGGTTTGATTATAGGCCTTATCGTTATTTGATGAAAATATCTAGAAAAATTATAATCTCGTATAGAAAGCGAGAAAAATTAATAATTTTATGATTTGAGCTTAATAAATTGACGAACCAATCATATGATTTAGTTGCGTTTGATCATGATATATAATTAGTGATTTTCTTAGAATGATGAGATAGTTAAGAATTATTTTAATATTTTATCATATAAAGGTGCCATTTCTTTTTAGCAGTTAAAAGGCTGTTTGCGGGATTATGATAAAGACATTTAGGCCTATATTGATTGATTGAGAGGTAGGGGAACGAAAGGTTTATAAGCTTTTAGCATCATCCATCCTTGCCCTCAGTACATTTTGGGGTTCACCAGAAAGAGCAAGACCATGAGAACTTAATCAAAGCGGATAATTCTTCATGAGCCTTCGTCCTTTCGTACTAATGATAATAAAATGTTGACTTATTAATATCAAAATCATCAAATTTGAAGATAGATGACTAATCAAACTTACTTGTCTTTTTTAAGATATCAAGAACAATGTTGATAAATGATAAAGAAAGATGAAAAATCCAATAGATATACTATAATTATATTCATCTTAAGCGTTTTGAATTAATGGTTCAAGATTTATCGAGAAAATGATGAGTGGGTAAAGAACTAAAAGACACTAAATTCACATCACGCACGGAATGATCCACCAATAGATACCATTAACAAAAGACAACTTCCATAGATCTTTGGCTGCTGCGAAGAACTAATCCCTAATCCAAACTTATTTAAAGTTGAAGACGAAGCACATAGATAACATTGGCACTGGCATCACTAGCAGCAATGCCTCCTTAGCAAATTTTGAAGCACAAGCAAACGAGGAGGGGGACGCACTTCCCCAGTTGCCATCCTTCACTTAAGCACGCTTCATTGCACTTGCTGTTCTTCACGCAGAATCCACGAAATGACCTGCTGAAACGGACGCACGTCTTAGCATCAACTTGTGCCACCTCTTCTGCCAAAGCCACAAACACAAGCAGGATGGAAGTCAGTTCATGTGCATCCTCGATTCACTTTGGGATCGATTCAAGCGGAGTCATAATTTCGATATTCCATCTTGTTGTTGATCTTTGTCATGCATTGGTTTTCTTCAACAAAGTTCTTGGCTTATATATATGCCTATATACATGAATAGATGCTGCAAATTAAACTAAGAGTTGGTGTCAAAGGGATGGATATATATCTATATATATATATTGGTACGATCATTACAGTCGTACAATGTTAAGTTTGAGTCAATCAATGTTATGTGCATTAATTTGTGCCTGTGTTTGTGTTTGTGACGGAATGAGAGAGAGAGAGAGAGAGAGACAGAGAGAGAGATAGACAGACCAGAGGCCATAATGAGTAACACTAGCAAGAAAGAGCATATGATTGCCTTCTGACACTCCATCTTTGACCAGAAAAATTCTTTGCTAAATCTTATGGTAGAGACCATGAGAAGAGGTATGTTTTTATAGTGATGGAAGAGAGAGAGAGAGAGAGAGAGAGAGAGAGAGAGAGAGAGAGGGGATAGCATACAAAAAAGAGCACCCAAAAAAAGCCACCCTACTCATGGCTATGGCCACATCATCTTCATCTTTGAGGTAATATGTGGGGGGTGTCTAAGGTAACATTGGATTGGATAAGACACGATATAAAATTTGTCTGTGTAACCTTCCAATCGAGAGAACTGAATGTGTGTAAATGAAGGTTAATTGAATGTTGTTCAAATGTGAGAATAATACCAAAAAGAAAGGCTTAAACCCCTCAAATGCTGAGGTCTCATTAATTGCACATTGTAGGAAGAGAAAAATGTGTGTGCATTCATGTGGTATCTCTATAGGAGGTGCTATATTTTCATTTTGTCTTCATATATAAAAGAAAGAATAGAAGAAATTATTCTTACTGAGTCCAGGTTCCCCTGGCCTCCCAATCATGTAATGCAGTCATTTAATGATATTGGGGTTTTTTTTTTGACATTTATGTCTATTTGATCCAATTTTTTAGATACAGTAGTAGGTTGAGATTTGATTTTGGGTACCAAAAGATTTGGGTTTAAATGAGTAGAAAATTGGATCTAGGTTTCAATTTGATGATATTATAATTGTTTTTTTCTTAAGGTACCCACATCTATTCAATTTGCATATATTATGTTCTTATATCTTTTATGTAAGTTTGATACATGCAAGTAGACTGAAATCCATGACAATTTTACCCATTATAAAGTTTATATTCACCATTTTTTTATCTTCAAAAAAATTTATTACAAAGGCCGAAAGGATATCAAACACAACAACACCAGAGATTCACACAATGATGCTTTGAATCTTAACCTATTAAAAAAAATTTCAAATGTATATCGCTAGGTAGACGAACATTACATGACTCCTGTATAAAGGGGAGGGTTGAGATAAAGAAGTCCAAGTCCAAGATATTGCATAACCTGGCTATAATCTCGAAAAGGTGTGATATATACATTCATTTTAACTCTACAATGTAAATATCCAGGCCGCGTTAAGAACACAATTGGAATAACCCACATATGATTCTTAAAATATACTTGTATATTACACCCGTTCTCTGGAATTAGCAAAATAGAAGAGTCAGATGAACAGGTTTGACCGGGTGCCACCAACACGATCGCTCCCCCCCCTCTTGATGTGCTTGTTCTTCCTACATCTGCTGCCGACCGGAATGTTCCAGGGTGACACCATGAGTTTAATGGCATTTGCTTCCTTGTGGAAGGGCGCAGCTGCCAGAGGCTGCAGTCCTTGTACTAGCAGAACATAGTACCCAATGAGTCGCACTGAGGGTATCTGAGAGCTTCTTGATCTTGTGTTAATGGCCTTTCCATAATTCTAACAGCAGTGGAAGTTCTGGTGCTCTTGGATCATATTTTGCATGTTGGTGCTGGTACTGTAAGTTTTGCTGTGCTTCTGTTGATGACGCAGCTGCTCGAGGTAGTGATGGTGGTATTGTCTTCAGGAATCAGAATGCTCTTGTGCATTCGCTACAAGAAAGAGAATGAAACAAAAGTCTAAGGATTTGAGGGGTAGAGATGTGCATAATAGGTCCTCAAGAAAGGTTTTCTGACATGAGCTAGCAAACAAAATAAGAAAGTATTTATTGGTGTTGATAGCCAGGAATTAAGATGAAGATACAGGCAGAGACTAGTGAGTTACAGATGCAACATGTGCTTGTGTGGAAGAAATGGCACCAATCTAAGGCCATTGATTGATTTATTTTTACCGAGTAAAATTAAGCCCCTCTGTAAGCTTGCTTCTTTCCATGACATCATGAGTCTAAGAAACAGGCAACAAATGACGGATGGCATAAGGTTTACCATACAAGATATCAGCATGGCAGCATTATCTTCATGAGTCTTGAAATTGAACTACTTCATGGTACACTACAGCGGACACTTCCATCTCAATATGTCAGTGCCAATAGCAGCAAAGTCTAGTATTTCTCTATTATTCTGAATATAAGAGTAAGATATTGACAGTTCCGAAGCAATAGCACATGGATGATTAGGTTAAACTCCTTGTGCTTCTCTACTATAATATATCATGTAGATCACATTGTCTATATGATCGGTCAATAAGGAAGCTGGAAGATTAATCATACCAGATGCAAATGGATCTGTTGCAAGAGCCATATAAGCCTCCAGGTGGTTAGATAATAGATTAATCTTTCATTCTGAACAGATCCTACAAGAAAATGAACATAAATTAAAATGAGGAATATTTGCCAGTGCGTATAATTGGGAGCTATCACTTTCCATTTGACCAATTACTAGAATTAAATAAAAGAGTGCTCACAGATTTAGAAAATTACCATGGAGTGGTTCGGCACTGAAACTTCCTGGCCTTCATGACAAATCAGGGAGAATGCTATTACTGTATCTGGAATGAAAATTTGCAGCATCATTCATCAAGTTCAAGAGATTCTAAGACCCAACCGAGGAACTTGAGATTGTACTGGTTGCTAAATCTGGTTTCAGCTTCATAAAATACCATGTTCTCAAGTACACCAGTAATCTCAACAAATATGATTCCACATCATGATGTGGTGATCACCACATTTATATGTTTTGGCGGCAGGTTCTGTCTTTTGGATGCTTAAATTTATTTATGCAAGCGACGGTTTGGGATCATAGCTAGCATCCAGCATCTCTAATTCCAAAAGTTCTAGCATTTCATATATACCTCTAGATTCATGGTGTGACCTATCTTCCACTATGAAGACATGCACATTTCCCTTTACCTTGATCCAGCTCTTTCCAGGTGACTTTTTCACACTGTTACTTTTCATCATCTTTCTTAGTCTTGCAAAATCATCCCAATGGCCAGAGGAAGCATAGATGTTGCATAATAAAACATAAGCTGCAGAATTTTGAGGATCAATATCTAGTATATTTTCTGCTGCTCTCCTTCCAATTTCCACATTATTGTGCATCCTGCATGCGGCTAGGATAGACTTCCACATCACAATATCAGGTTCAAAAGGCATTTGATCGATAAAATTTTCAGCCTCATTTAATCTACCAGCACGAGCTAGTAAATCAATCACACATGAACAGTGCTCTCTTGTAGGGACAACTCCGTGTTCAGCTTCCATCATTTGGTAGTAATATAGCCCTTTATCTACCAATCCAACATGACCACAGGCTGTAAGAACCCCAACATATGTAACATGATTTGGCTTAATGCCCGAACTTTGCATGCACATGAACAGCTCAAGAGATTCTTTTGCATACCCCAGTTGAGCATATCCAAGAATCAAGCTGCTCCATGGGAATACATCATATTTATCATCCATCAAGTCAAATAACTTTCTTGCATCCCCTAGGTTACCACATTTTGCATAAGTGTCAATTACACCATTGCGGACCATTATGTCAACCTCCAGTCCAACTTTCATGGCATAGGCATGAACCTGATTCCCCATCTCCAAGTAGGCCAAGTCACCACAAGCACTGAGTATAGCATTTAAAGTGATCTGATCAAACCTGTAGTCCAGATTCTGCATGAGTTTTATGAATGTAAAGACTTCTTCAGGTTGGTGGTGCTGCAAGCATGCAGAAAGAACTGTGTTCCAAGAAACAATATCTCGATCCCTCATGTCTTCGAAGAAATCGAGTGCAACGGACAGATCTGAGCATTTAGTGTACATCATAAGAAGAGCGTTAGAAACAGCAATATTTGTCTTCCAACCCATTTTCACTGAATAAGAATGGACCAGTTGCCCCTTTTGAAAAGAATCACAGCCAGTACAAGCACAAAGCAAGCAGCGGATGGTGATGTCATCAGGCTGCACACCTGAATCTCTCATCTCAGAGAACAATAACGTCACTTCATTAGATAGACCAAGAGAAGAGAAACCACACAATATTGAATTCCACGAAACTAGATCAGGCATTTCTATTTCACTGAAGGCCTTCTTCGCACAATCTAGCATTCCACACCTAGCATACATGTCACTTAGTGAACACCCAGCAAATTCATTACTTTGGAGCCCAAACTTGGCACAAAGACCATGCATTTGCTCTCCATACTCTATTATACCTATATCGCCACAAGCACTGAATCCACTACCGAAATGGAACTCGTTGGGGCAGTGAACACCTGAACTGATCATCTCCTTGAAAAGGTGCAGAGCTTCCAGTTCATGACCCTGCTTAGAAAAGCCGGCAATCATTGAGCCCCATGAAATCACATCTTTCTCTGCAATCCTCTCAAACACGATAGCAGCATCGTCAATCCTATCCAACCTTGCATACATCGTGACGAGTGCGTTCTGTACAATACGATCTGCCCCGCTCTCCGACTTCAACGCATGGCAATGCAGTTGCTTTCCCAGTTCGACGTCGCCCAAGCCGGAGCCTGCTCTGACGACGCTGCCCAGCGCGAACTGATCTGGGTGCAACCCCGAGCGGAGCACCCCAAGATACAACTCGACGGCTTCAAGGTCCCTGCCGTTCTGCGAGCAGCCGGAGATCATCGAAGTCCAAGAGACGAGGTTCCTGTCGGGCATTGCGTCGAACAGGCGACGGGCGTCATCAGGCGAGCCGCATTTGCCATAAGCGTTGAGAATGTGGTTGTGGAGGACGACGTCGGGAGGGGCGGGGGAGGCGGCGAGGTGACGGTGGAGGAGACGGGCGTCGGGAAGGGATCGAAGGTGGGAGCAGGCGAGGAAGAGGTGGCCGTAGGTGGAGGGGTATAGGTGGAGGTGGGGAGAGGGGGGTGGGAGCGAGTGGAAGGTGCGGAGGGCTTCTCGGTAGCGCTTCTGCTTGCAGAGGCTGCTGATGAGGTCGTTGATCTGCTGCTGCTGCTGCTGGGATTTGAGGGTTGGGATGGAGAGAGACGGTGGCAGAGAACGGAGAGAAGAAGACGCCGTGGAGGAAGTTGAGAACAGCAGCCGTTGGCAGTGTTTGAATCCGGCCGTCATTGTTTACAGCTCTTTTTGCGATGTGCATATGTTTGTTATAATGATACCAAAAATGGGGGGGTCAAATTAGCCTCCTTTTGCTCTCTCTCGAAATATCCGAATTTATTAATATATTATTATATAAATAATATATCTCAAATTTAAATTAACATCTAAACATCATATATATATATATAATTATTTTATTTATTTAATATTATTTCTTTTTTGTAAGAAAAGGTTTCTTATCAGACTGCATTGCTGCAAACATTGGCAATATATACATATATTTATGCATTGTTCAAAGGAAAAGGAATAAATTCATGAAACAGAGTTCAATACAAACTTGATGCTGGTTTCATATATGTATGTATGTATGGATATATTTGAGACTGCAAGTGTTTCAGAGTAGAGTAGTTGTCTTCCTCATGCCTCGGCTTTTCTTTATCTTCAGGTTTGGTGGTTCGACCGTGCCTTCTTCCTTCTCTTCCTCGGTGCCCGCTTCTTGTTCTGAGGTCGCAGATTGAAGCTCCTTAGTTATCATCCCCGGAACGATGAAATTAGTAACCCAGTAGATGAACAACAGCAGGGCACTGCAAAAGTGTGCAGATCGAGATCTGCTAAGGTCACGCATGGCCGAAGGTGTTGGCAATCGCTGTGATGTGGAACAAACACTGGTTACCTGATCGGAACGAGGACCGACAAGTCACCTGCTGCTGCTGGGGAGGTGGCAGCTGCATTGAGACTGTTGCTGAGAGCTTGCTGAGTGGGAGATACCGCAAGGAAGAGAAGGTTATGTCTGTGTTTTGGTGACTTTGTTAGAAGGAGAAGCTGTGCACTTCTTCTTCTTGGTTTGGCGGAGTGGTGACTGAGGAAAGAATGGGGTGGAAGAGAAGGGGATGATGGGCAACCAATTGACTCCATGGCTTTGGAACTGCAGGGGGTTTGCTCTGTTTTTGGTGCAACCAGTTACACTACCGTGGATAACGTTTGCTAGCTTTGAGTGGCTGGCAGAGTGTCCTATCAACAGAGTAAGGATTTGGGTTGCGCTGCCACTGTGCCGCCATTACAATTGACTGTGACTAACTTGAGATTATAAACAAATATTGTTATTAATCTGAAAGCAAATTTAGGAGTTTTACTATCAGGCATTAATGGCTTAGAGGTGATAAAGTTGCTCATTTCTTGCCTAAAAGATAAAAGATTCCAATCATGGAAATAATCAATCTATATATTAAAGATAAGATTGCGTAAGATTTTGCTTTGATGTCACAGTTTAAACCAGAGAAGAAGGTAAGGCATGATGTGATTTATATCGAGAACAATTAATACAGCAGAAGAATAAATTGCAGGTTGTGACCCAAAACGCTTGCAGCTCGAGATCATCATGAGGTGCAGTCTCGAAAGTCTTTTTCCTCTATCCGTCACCACTGTGGCGGCAGATGCAATTGGCAAGAAGAGACCGGTCGCAGTTGAGCTCGAATTAATGCCCCGGCCACCCTCCACCACATGCAACGCCTATTTAAACCCAGCCCGTGCTGCAGGCTCCGCATCACAACCAATCCCACGTCGACTGTGCTGAAGATGGCCAAGCTCTTCCTCCTCCTCCTCTTTGGCGCCCTCGTCTGCTCCGCCGGTGCCAGGAAACTCGCTAGCAAAGCGCCTTTGGAGGAGAAGAGCTGGTTCCACAAAGGTCGTGGCCATGGGGGTGGCTCCGGCGGAGGAGGTGGATACGGTGGCGGAGGTGGTTATGGTGGTGGAGGTGGGTATGGTGGCGGCGCCGGGCACGGAGGTGGATATGGTGGTGGAGCTGGGTATGGTGGCGGCGGTGGGTATGGTGGGGGTGGAGGAGGAGGCTATGGAGGTGGAGGTGGTGGTGGACAAGGCGGAGGCTACGGAGGAGGAGCTGGCGCTGGCGGTGGGTATGGAGGCGGTTCGGGTTTTGGCGGAGGATATGGAGGTGGCGCTGGAGGCGGTTACGGTGGCGGTGGTGGGTCAGGCGGCGGTTACGGCGGAGGAGCTGGTGGCGGTGGACACCCATGAAGGATTCCGACGATGAACTGCGTTGTGTGTCACTTTCATTGTATCGTAGTACGTATGCTTGTCGAGAATAAGTTGCGCAGCATCAGCATGCATTACTTCAACCGATGATGGCTTGCCCTAATTATATTTTGTGCACGATGTAATATTTGGTTTGACATATACCAATATTATTGCTAGATCAAATCATAAGTTATGCGACAGATGATCTCAAATATATATTATATTTGAACGAGGAACAATCAGAATTTATTACTCATTACATATAATATTTTTTATTAATAAATTCATATAAATTCATAAAAAAATTAAAAATATGTATGTCTGATAAAATACTTATTATTTTCTCCGATAATAAATCATTAGTTTAAATGAATATATATATATATATATATATAAAGATTTTTTTGGGCGAGAATAATCAAAAATGAGATTTATTTTTTCTAAAGATAAAATAATATTAAT